TGAGGGAGGGGGGAGCGGGGAGGGAGGGGGAAAATGAGGACCTAATGTCGGAGGTTTCAGTGGAGAGAAAATGTTTTGAGAATGATGTACAAATGCGCTTTATACAACTGATGTGTGTATTGATTGCGATAACAGTTGTATGAGCCCCTAATAAAATGCTTAAAAATAAATAAATAAATAAATAAAAGACAAGGTAAAGTATTTGTGATGCAGCAACATATGACTCCTCTACTCATGCCTAATTCCTGCTAAATGACTGGGTGGGATTATGCAAATAGGCTGTGTGAAACACTAATATAGGGGATTGGTCAATTTTGGTTGCAATTTCTCTGTGTATGAGAGCTATCTCAGAACCGAGAAGTGAGAATTCCCAGGACCACTGGTGTTCATTTGAGATCTCTCCCTGCCTGATATGGTGGTGGCAGAAGAGAACATGCTATGATGTGACCAGAAATGAGACCAGAAGCATTGTCAAGGAGACAATGAGACAGCATAGAGCAGTAGTGCCAATACTGTGAGGCAGAGCAATGGGCTGACTTCCTGGCCAATGGAAACAGAAGACAAGGAACCATATGGCTAACAACTAAGGACCACAATGAGAGACTTGGCTACTGGCTGAAAAGTGCTGCTGTCAACCAAAGAATATTTTTAGCATTTCCTGATCCTGGCTTCTGGCAAATTGTTAACTTCCCTAATAAATCCCCATAATAAATCCCCATAATTGTGAGTGCTGTCTTTGAGTTCTGTGTGATCAGTGCACTGAATTATCAAACCCTATAAAAAAGTAATGTTGGCTGGTGTCAAGAGTAGAATTCAGAAAGATGGCGGGTGTAGGCATATCTGATTGTTGCCTTGTGATAATTGGTCTTGGGTTAATGTTGAGCTAGATTATCCTTCTTCCTTGTGCAGCCAGAGGAGGTCAGATATGGTCTCTGTGCCATTTACTCAGTATTATAATGAAATGTACAAAGACTAACACTTAAAAATTTTAAAGAGAAGAATTCGCTCAACATTTCTCAAGCTGAATGCATTGAAGAATACTTCAAGCTTTGAGTTGCAATACTGAAAAATAATATTGGCAAAATATTAAAGGACATGAAAAACATAAAAAGGAGGAATACCCAGAGTAAAAGAACCAAAAGTGAATTGACCAACATTTCTAGAAGTAGAATATAAACAATAACCAATGGTACTAAAGGAAGCCATCCATGCTCCATTAAAAGTGCTGGTGAAAAATAAGACTACAGAAATTGACAGAATATTAATTGAGATGCAACAAATAAATGCAAAACTGGTGTGCCTACTCATCTGTGCCAAGACATTAGACAGTTACTGCAAAATCAATTGGAAGATACTACGTGCCAAAGAAAGGCAATTCAACAGAATGTGGAAATTATAGAGTACTATTAAAATCACACGCAAGTAAAATTTAGTTGAAAATCATTCCCCAAAAGTTGCTATAATATAAAAAAAGTTGTTGTAGAACTCTGAGAAATTTATGCCAGACTCAATAGAAAAAACACATTGAGGGATGTCAGATAAATCTTGGCCAAAAGCAAATACCAGAGAGATGTTTCTACTTGTGTTTCAGTGACTATGCAAAAGCATTTAAATGTGGGGATAACTAATTACAGATAACAATTCCAAAAAGTAATTCCAGAGCACTTCATTGTGCTCAAAAAGAGCCTACATAGAGACTCAAGAGGCAAGCATTCATGTGGAACAAAGAATACTGTGAAGTTTAAAAACCTCACAGTGATCATTTCTATTCACTCTGTAGGCTGAGCAAATAATCTGAGAAACCAGATCATATGTAGAACACAGCATGAGGGTTGAAGGAAGACTTATTAACAAGTTGTGATATGTGGGGGACACAATTTTGCTTGCTGAAAGTGAAGAGATTTACTTCTAAGCATTTACTGATGAAGATCAAAGACCACACCTTTCAATATGGATTATACACCACCAACATAAAACAGAAACTCTCACAACTAGACCAATAACTCCATGATAAACAGAGAAAACATGGAAGTTGTCAAGGATTTAATTTCACTTGGATCTATAATCAAAGTCTATAGAAGCTGCAATCAAGAAATCAAAAGACACAATGTACTGGGAAACTCTTTACAAGACTCTTAAAGTGTTAGAAAGCAAAATTACACTTGAGAAATGAGATGTGCCTTACCCAAAGCTGGACCGTGAATAAGGAAGGCGGAAGAAAAATTGATGGTGTTGTTGAAAAATATGCCATGAACTATCAGAAGAACAAATCTATCTGAGAAGTACAGCTAGAACAGAAGTGAGGCTGGTGAGACCTTGTCTCCTGGACTTTGGACATGTTATCAGTAGAGATCATTAGTCATTGAAAAAGAGGAAGACACTCAATGAGATGGTCTGACATAGTGGCTGCCAAAAATGGGCTCAAACAATTGTGAAGATATCATATGACTATGTATTCTTTGGTTGTGTACAGGAGGCAGTTGGAACAACAGATTCAATGGTACCTAATGTCTCAAAAATTATTATTATTTTAATAAAAAGATCGTTTTATTGGGAGCTCTTACAGCTCTTATAACAATCCATACATCAACTGCATCAAGCATATTTGTACATATGTTGCCATCATTATTTTCTAAACATTTACTTTCTTTTTGAGCCCTTGGCATCAGCTCCTCTTTTTTCCCTCCCTCCTTCCTCCCACTGTCTCAAGAATTATTGTTGAACTAAGTAATTTTTAAAGGTGTAAGATTCTGCACATTCTTCACTGCATGTTGAATCAGAAAAAGATTTAGACCTTTGTCTTCTAAAATTTTTTATAATGAGAAATCTTAAAATCTGTCACACAATGGTGAGCACGCAGTACTTTTATTAAAATTATTTCTCATATAAGCAGTTAAACATTCTTACCACAGGTGCTGCATTTGGAGCTGGTCGCTGTTCCGGTGCACGCCCTTCTTCTCTGGCTTTCACAGACTGAAGAATTGCAAAAATATTCTTGGAAAAGTTCTATAACATAAATTAACTTTAATTAATTCCACTTAGAGTGAAACTACATAAAGACAGGAAAGTCACTTACTAAATGTTCTTCTTATCAATTCTCCCCTAATATGTATATGGAGTCACTGTAGGCTATAACCAACTAGACGGGAACGGGTATATATAAAATTGAAATACGCAGGATAAAGAATTTGGAAGAGAAAACAACAGGATCTACGGTTCCAGGGGGACATGGGAGAAGGAGAGGCGGGAGAAAGGAAGTGGGTGTTAACAAACCCAGGGACAAAGGAACAACAAGTGATTCAAAATTGATGGCAAGAAGGATGTAGGAGGACTGGTAGGGCTTGATCAAGGGCAATGTAACCGAGAGAAATTACTGAGACCTAAATGAAGGCCGAACATGATAGTGGGACAAAAGGAAAGTAAGAAGAAAGAACTAGGAGGCAAAGGGCATTTATGGAGTTCTAAATACAGGCATGTACATATGTAAATATATGTATATATGATGATGGGGAAATAGATCTATGTGTATATATTCATAGGTTTAGTATTAAGGTAGCAGATGGACATTGGGTGTCTACTCAAGTACTCCTTCAATGCAAGAATATTTTGTTCTACTGGCATTCCATGATGCTCACCTTCCCAACACAAACGCTGAAGATAAAGCGGGTGCATAAGCGATGGTGAAGAAAGCTGATGGTGGCCGGCTATCAAAAGATCTTAAAGGCTTGAAGATAAACAAGCAGCCATCTAGCTGAGAAGCAACAAAGCCCACATGGAAGAAGCACACCAACCTGTGTGATCATGAAGTGTCGATAGGATCAGGTACCAGCATCAAAGAACAAAAAATCTTATCATTGTGAATGAGGGGGAGTGTGGAGTGCAGACCCAAAGACCATCTGTAGGCAACTGGAACTCCCCTTACAGAAGGGTCACAGGAAGGAGGCGAGGCAGTCAGGGTGCAGTATAGCAGCGATGAAACATACAACTTTCCTCTAGTTATTTAATGCTTCCTCTCCCCCACTATCAGGATCCCAATTTTATCTTACAAATCCGGCTAGACCAGCGGATGTACAGGGGTATAGATGTAAGAGCTGGTAACACAGGGAATCCAGGACAGATAAACCCATCAGGACCAATAGTAAGATTAGAGATACCAGGAAGTTAAGGGGAAGGTAGGGGAGAAAGGGGGAACCGATCAAAATTATCTACATATAACCCCCTCCCTGGGGGATGGACAACAGAAAAGTGGGTGCAGGGAGACATCGGACAGTATAAGACATGAAAAGATAGTAATTTATAAATTATCAAGGGTTCGTGGGGGAGGGAGGGGAAAAAATGAGGAGCTGATACCAAGGGCTCAAGTACAAAGAAAATGTTTTGAGAATGATGATGGCAAAGAAGTACAAATGTGCTTGACACAATGGATTATGTATGGATTGTGCTAAGACTTGTATGAACCCCCCCAATAAAATGATTTTTAAATAAAATATTATTATTATATCTGTAAGTAAAAATTGAGTAAAGAAATTCATAACTATTGGGAAACTGTTCCAGATACTAATTATCATAGACCTAGTATTATTTTTAATATTATTTTCTTAAACTAAACAATTGGCTATGTTGTTCTTAATACTCTTCAGCGCCATTGTCTCAATTTCAACTAAAAGAGATCCCATACTACAAGAGACCTGGTCCATATTATTTGCTAGGCTGTAATATTTACAAGAGCAAATTGCCAAATCTCTTTCGCATTAAGTCTCTGTGCAGGTTTGAGCCAACAACCTTCTGGTTAGCAAATGAGCACTTAAATGTTATACCAGCTTACTTTAACTGGCTCTAAGTTTATTTATATTCGGCATCCATTCAAATACCAAATCCCTGCCACTGAGTGAAGGCTGACACAGCAATCCTATAGGACAGAAAATAACTGTCCCTGTGGGTTTCTGAGACTGTAAATATTCACAGGAGGAAAAAGTCTCGTCTTTTTCCATCTGAACAGCTGTGGGTTCGAATTGCTTGTCCTATGGTTAGCAATCCAAGTCATAACCCACTACGACACCAGTATCCCCAAGTAAAGTTAGCATCTAAGGCCAATCTCTAAATAAAAACAAAAGCCTAAAAGAGTGGCCAAAAAAAGGCTACCTCTTTCAGAAAAAAATCAACTACTATATTCTTTAAGTATATTTAACCCCAGTATCTGATGTCAGAGTGCTACAATTTATGGGATGCTGACAATTTTTATACTGTTGAAGATTAATATGCACTTTTCAAAATCTTGTTAAGGTGGAAAATATTCACATATACTTCATAAACGTTTCCTTGGTCCCTGAAGCACATACCTTCTTGCCCTCTTGATAGACTTACTCTCTTCATTTTCTCTGATGTGTCTAATAGTTTCTTTGAGAGTTCTTATTCTACTGTTGGTCACTGATTTTAAGAAATATATATTGTCTACCACAAGTGAAATGTCAAGTTTGCAGGCAACACAATGATGACCAAGAAAGACAGGATCCCTGCCTTCATAAACTGTGTATTCTAATAAGGAAGACAGAGAAAATGGGCAAGACAGAGTAGCACACAACAGGAGAGGTGATAGAAAATAACCCTGGGTAGGGGAGGGTCACCAATGTCATAGAAATGTTTTGCTGAAGAACTGAAGTGTCAGAAGAAAAATGGAAAAGGAAATGTATCACACTAGTTAAATATCCAAAGGTAGAAGAAATATTAAATTCACAGGCAATGAAGTGCAGAGGAGCTCAACAGATACAGTAAGAGAGAGGCGGTCAGTAGAAGAGCCTGAAGCAGAATGGAAGTCCTCTCGTTTCACACACACTAATTTGAAGTTCTTCAAATGCAACATTTTCCTCTGTGCAGTTAAACTCCTCTATCTCTTCAGTCCATTTTATTATTTTATTCTTTATCATTTTCCTCTGATATGCTTGACTATGTTAGCTACCCTTGCTAGGTAACTACCTCATAATGACATATATCACACTGAAAAATATAGAGCTAGGATCAATACATCTCCAGCCAGAGCCTAGCCTAGTGACTGAACTGTGTATGTTATGTAAACATTTATACAATAGGTATATAAAATGAGAAGTAGTTTAAAATGTAACTATTACTTTTGCTGTAGTTACAGGAATACCTCATTTTACTAAGCTTCACTTTATTGTGCTTCAAAGATACTGTGTTTTTCAATAAATTGAAGGCTTGTGGCAACCTTGCATTGAGGAAATTTATTTTTTTTTAAAGCCAAGTTCACTGCTATCTAGTCAATTCTGACTCATAGCAATTCTATTGGACAGGGAAGAACTGACTCATAGCAATTCTATTGGACAGGGGAGAACAGCCCCTTTGGGTTTCCAAGACTGCAAATCTTTACAGGAGTACAAAGTCTCATCTTTCTCTCTAAGTCTATAGAAGCCATTTTTCTAACAGCATGAGTCCATTTCAGTTCTGTATATTATTTTTAAATTTCTAACACTTCAAACTTTTCATAATGTTATTGCATGCTACAGTCAAGATAAATATAATTTTTGTATGCACTGGCAAACTAAAAAAATTGTGTGACTCACTTTATTGTAATATGCATGTTATTGTGATGGTCTGGAACCAAATTTTAAAAATAACCAGTATTTTGAAAACAAGCATAAACAGTACTATCTAGTTCCTCCTACTAATTTTTAGGGTAGTCGGTAAACTATTGAGGAATCCTTTACATGCTTAGAAATTGAGATATTACTACGAGCTTAGGGTTAGTAAATTATATCTACCAATATTTATCATGTTGAAAACTTACAATGATTTCTTTTTTTTAAAAATTTTTTAAATAATAAAAATCAAAACCTGTTACATGCAAACATAAATGACTTATTTCTAAGAAAAAAATTACTTACCAAACATAAGAAAGTACGTAGTTAAGAAACAGTGATACGGTTTTGAAAATCTCTTTACTGTCATCTAACTAAATAGAAAATAGCTATATTTGTCTATCTGCTTCTACATTCAAGATATGCTGTGTTATCTTATTTCGGTCAAAGAATATAAAGGAAATCTAGCCTCAAGGACATGAACTTGGAAAAGGAAGAGAATCTATAACAGCTTTTCAGATAATTGCAGGTATATTCCTTAGATAGCAGACCATAAGAAGCTTACTAAATTTCAGATTCTTTCATGAAAGCTTAGATATTTAATTGGCAACAAGTAATGTAAATTGTTTTCCTAAAAGCAACATGCTTACTTCCTTCTATTTTGAAAACATGAAGTCTGCCAAATACCCAAGGATGAGTAACAAAAACTAGCTATTCAAGTAAGAATTGAGTTTCCATGAAAAGTAGCTGGATCATGATCCCAATTCTACCTTCCAAGTCTGGCTAGACCAGAGGATGTACATTGGTACAGATAGCAACTGGAAACACAGGGAATCCAGGATAGATGATCCCTTCAGGACCAGTGAGAGGGGGCGATGCCTGGAGGCTGAAGGGAATGTGGAGTAGAAAGGGGGAACCGATTACAAGAACCTACATATAGCCTCCTCCCTGGGGGGTGGACAGCAGAGAAGAGGGCGGAGGGAGACGTTGGACTGTGTAACTTATGACAAAACGATAATAGTTTATGAATTATGAATGGTTCATGAGGGAGGGGGGAGGGGGAGGGGGGAAATGAGCAACTGATATTAAGGGCTAAAGTAGAAGGAAAATGTTTTGAGAATGATGAGGGCAACAAATGTACATATGTGCTTGACAAAATGGATGTATGCATGGATTGTGGTAAGAATTGTATGAGCTCCCAATAAGGAAGAGAATCTATAACAGAATCTATAATTTTAAAAGAAAGAGTTGTATGAGCCCCTAATAAAATGATTTTTTTTAAAAAGTAGCTGGATCAGTTCACAAGTGAAATAGCTCATAAGACATAAATGTTGCTCATAGAAAACACCCAGTATATTGTGTTATCCAGAAGTATTTTATGCAAAGTTCTTATTTTATCACATAAGATATTTAAAAGATGTCAAATTATTCATTGTTAGTACATAATCAGGACAAGCCTAAGTGGCTAAGGGGAAAAAATGTATCCTATAAAGTTTGGTATCAGTGCGTAGGTTCAAAGGGCGACCCAGTTTCCCCAACCATTGCTTCTCAGCTTCAAGACAAATATCAAGTGAAAAAATTATCATTATTTAAGAAAATAATCAAGTATTCAATAAGAGGCACTTCTAGAAAAATCAATCAAATAATTATATTTTGAGATAATTGATTTTTACAGGTGTTGATTTTCAACAATAATCATACGCTAACTTCCCTAATTCTGAAAGTATGTTTCATTAAGGGCTTAGGGGATGGGGGGATCAAGCTGCTTTATTTGGGGTGAGTGCAAAAGTCACATAACAGTGCAAAATAGTATTTCTTGTGGAATGCTGAACGAACCTGTCTTTTGTTCCTGGAACTCAGAACATACGAAATTTCTAAATCTTAGTAATAAGGAAGGACTGACCAAAACCTTAGGACTTTTTAGTGCTATGTTAAGGTGACCAGACGGCCCGCTTTTGGAGGGACAGTCCCGAGTTTTAACAATTCTTTCTGTGTCCCGCGGCGTTTTAAAAAGTCCCAATTTTGGGGAAGAATGCACGACAAGTTAAGGTATACGGTTTTCAGCTGCCATGTGGCTATTTCGCCAGGATATGAGTTTTATCAATGGTGCAAATGGTGTCCTGCTTTACCAATGTTACAATCTGGTCACCTTATGTTATGTGTACCTAAGAATATTTTTTTTAGTTTACCAGATGAAATAACATACAGAGTATCAATATATTTTAATTTCTAAAAAACATTAATACTAATAAAAGGAAGCCTAACTAAGATACACGGCTGATGAGTTGACTTTGATTCCTATTACCCTAACAGGACAGAGGAGAGTTGTTGAATAGGGTTTCCTGTTGTAAATCTTTATGGAAGCAGATACCCTTCTCTTTCTTCCACAAAGTAGCTGGTGGGTGTGATCAGACAGCAGCTCAATGCTTGTTATTCCTCAATCCAGTGTCACCAGCCACCCTACACAATTTTTAGGGTATTAGCTTATTTTTAAAAAGCTAAAGTGGTGCCATAACTTTAAAACTAGTACTTTATTTTCAAATAATGGCACAATACTGCCATCTAGAGTGCAAACAAAATTGTCCCTTTGAGTTATTTAAAAATTTAGGTGTGAGGGGTTCAAGTGGAAAGTGGGTGTCGTAAGAATGATGAAGTCAACATATGTACTAAAGTGCTGGACACAGATGACGTATGTACAGATTGTGATGAGTTGTATGAGCCCCTAATAAAATGATTATTTTTAAAAAAAAATTTAGGTGTGGTCTAAAACAAGGTGAGACATAGCAGATGCTTCCTTCCTTTATCCTAAATTTCAGTCATCAAAATAATCACTGGTTTAACAATATGTTACAATTTATTCAAGGAGTGGCCATATGTGAAAATTAGTATCAACAGATCTTATTTCAAGTATAAAAAAAGAATGGTTATTTACTCATATTCTAAAGTTCCTTTACAATTCTGAACTACCAAGAATAATTCTTAATTGTTATCTCAGATACTATTTAGAAAAAAGTCAAAGTACAAAACGAAAAACAGTAATTTTTTTACTCATATACTCTTTTTCAAATAACTCTGCTCACACTAAAATGTCCTAACATAAAGGCACAACTCACAAAATTCTATAACCAAATCAATTTGCCTTGAACACTGTTAAAAGTTCAGTTTTATATTCAATTATATGATATGTGAATTATATCTCAATAGATTATTAAAAAATTCATTTAAAACAAAAAAAATTTTAAAGTTCAGTTTTAGCAGTAATCTCACAATTCTATAAAAGTATAACTGAATTATCACTGTTATAACTGGCCACTGCTAATCAGAGGAAAATTAGCATCTAAAATAGAAAATTGGGGACTGTGGGAAAAAAATACATAAAGCAATATTACTTTGCTGGAAATTCATTAAGATACTAAACATACCGAACACTTCAAATTTTATCATTCAGATTTTAAAGTACATGTCTTCCCTGATCAGCAGTTCTCCTTCTTTTCCACATACACATATATGTACAAAGGTGTGTGTACAGGGACGTTCTTTACTACACACTTGTAATAGTGAGGAGAGGAAAGGATGTGGATGAGGACAGGGAGAAAGAGGGCAGAGGAAGATACACAAGAAAAAAGGTGGGGAATTTCATAATCCTGGAGGGAAATAAGTCACAAATCTTGCTATGCCCAAACAGTGAAATTATGAAAAACAGTCAATAAATATTTACTGACTGATCCCTCCTGTAAGCTCTCTACTTTGCAAAGGGAAATGAATAATGATGCTATGATGATCATGGAGTTTATTATCAACATTGTTCTTTAATTAAAGCAAAACTTAACTCAATAAGAAAACTGGGCACTCCTTAAATTTTGTATATAAAGGAACTTACTTTTTTGATTCATACTTTTTTATCAGCTTTTGGTAACCAGTAATCAACTGTGTAAAGGAATGATGCACATGACCACTTTGGAATATGCATTACTAATCTTCCAAAGACTAGCATACAAAAACTCCTAACAAAATTAATCCAATTCTGAAACCAGTGACAAAACATATACACGTACTCCAAAAATAATGGAATATTTAATTACCTTCCCTGTGCTTTGTAATATAGTTGTCCGTGTCCTCCAAACTCTCTCTCTGCTGACAATATCTCGGGTCACATCTACTTCAGCATCCACAAAACTCCTCTGTTTAAGTGCAGTTATGTCATCATCTAAATCAGTCTTGATAGTAGATCTTTTCTTGGCCATAATTTTGGCCTTGATTGCAGCGATTTTTTCCACCGACATAGCTTCTGACAAAGACCTAAAAGTATGGTAACTCAATTTTCATCTGTTTTAGATATCGCCAAATCGATTTCCATAGT